GAGAAAAAGGATCAACTTTTGCAGGAAAAAAATCTTTTTTCCCTGAAAAGAAAACAAAGTCTCATCAAAAAAATTGTCTTAAAAGAAATGATTGTGCCGCTAGAAAGCTGGGGGGAAGAGGTTTCGTTCGAAGGAAAACAGATTTCAGTGAAATCGACCCCTTTTTGATCAAAATAATTAATTCTTTACGGACTGAAAAACAGCTTTTGAAACCAAAAAAACCTAATTTCTTGCCAATTGGTGCTCGCTTAGTAAAACATTTTCAGCTGTAGCCCACGAAAGCTTATGCTCTAATAAATTTGTTAGTCTCTAAGGTGCCAGAAGTACTCCTGTTCTTTTTTCAACTGTATTATTTCTGATTGGAAAAGCGTTTTTAATTGGAAAAAGAATGTTTTAAGAATAAGCTTCGTCAAAACAGTGATTGAAGCCTTTTCTCCGAAATATGGCTTTTCCAAGAAAAATATAGTTTTTACAAATTCCTTTTTCTTTGACAAACACAAAAATTATCAATTTTGGATCAGATATAGGCAAAATATTGCTTGAGAAACCACTTCCTTTTTTACCCCCAGTTTTCAGCGCAAATTTGTCTATGCACCTGAAGGGAGGGGAGTCACCCGTAAGAAGATTCTGAGATGGTGGCTACCACGGGATACACAGAATTTGAAAACGCGAGGCCAGAAGACTGACCCCACTGCTGCAACCCCTTGACGTACACCTGCAGGGCCTAGGTCTACCTGACAGAGAGGGAAGGGAGGGAAGAAAGAAGGTCAACAAACACACACACTCAGGAAGGGATGGGAGCCACCTATGAGTAGATTCTGAGACAATGGCTACCCCGGCCCACACGATTTGAACCCATGTAGCCGGCATCCTGCCCCCACTGCTGCTAACCCTTGACGTATGGCTGCAGGCCCTAGTCCTACCTGGCAGGGTGGGAGGGAGGGTGGTCAACAAACACACACACAGACACACACACACACTGAGGAAGGGAGACGAGCCACCCGTGAAGAGAATCCGAGACGATTTCTACCATGGCACACACACGACCTGATACACTGCTGAGACCCCTTGACCTACGCCTGCAGGGCCTAGTTCCATCTGGCAGAGTGGGAGGGAGGGAGGGAGGGAGGCAGGGAGGTAGGAGGTCAACAAACACAAACACACACACACAAAATGAGGAAAGGAGAGGATCCACCCTGGAGGAGAGGCTGAGACAATGGCTACCCCGGCACACACACGATTTGAACCTGCGATGCCGGCAGTCTGACACACTGCTGTGACCCCTTGACCTACGTCTGCAGGTTCTAGTTCTACCTGGCAGAGGGAGGAGGTGAACAAACACTTTAAAAATAACACAAGAAATAGTTAGGGTACAAACAAAACAAGGGTTTTATTTATAAAAAACTTGGTGGTTAACACCCAAATAGGCATGAAGCCCAGACCCAGAACTTAACACATGTGGGTTACAAAAGGTATTAAGCAAACAGTTTACTTCACCAATCTTTTGCATAAACCGTAGGAAGCTGAAACCGGAACCAGGGAAACACACAGGAACACACAAGACCAATGAACCAGGAACCACAGCGAGGATGACAATGAAGACGACAGGGACAAAGTAGGTGTCAGGAACAGGTATTGTATAAATAATTAAATTGGCATTGGAGCGGGGCATTGGAACATATATCTCAGGTGAGTGCCCTAACCACTAGGGTGCAGTCACTCTCCCTCTCCCTGGACCAGTGTATATTTAATTAGTTATCAAAAAGTGGAACAGCTTCAGCAGGAGAGATTGAGAAAGACCTGCCCCAGAATATTCCACTGCCCAGTGGTTATGGCACTCTTCTGAGAGATGGGAAACAAGTTCACATTCTTTTTCCACTCAGGAAGAGATGGGAATTGATCCTGGGAGACTGCCCTAACAACTGGGCTAAATGTTGAAAGGGACAGAATGGGGGGCGGGGGCACCTGCTCTTCCTGCATTTTTTGTGAGAACTGGCTTAGGCACCTAACTCCGAGAGTTCACAGCTGAGAAAAGACAGGCACTTCCAACTGGCTCGCACTTATGCATCTAACTCCCTCTGAAGGGTGGGGCTTAGGACCCACCCCTCACTTTGGCATATCCTATTAGCTATCTTAGGTGGGTTCCTCCCTTAGTATTCTGGCTTTTGTGGATCCCATTCTTAGGCAACTGACTCCCCCCACCCTCCATGTATTGTATGAAGAACCTGGGGCGCCTAACCCTGAGCAGTGGATTCCACTGCATGGCAAGACGGCTAAAAGTTAGGCATTACAAGGCTGAGCCCAGATCCTCAGAAGGTATTTAGGCACCTAACCCCCATTGATCTGGGTCTTAGACTTCTCCCTCTACTTGGAAGTCTGAGCCATGAACCCTCTCCAGGAGTTGGATGCCTAAGACAGGCAGGGCCAGATTTACACCTTGCATGCCCCTACGCACAGCATCTTCAGCTCCCCCTGCCTACAGCTGACCTTTGTGTTCCAGAAAAAATGACATGAAAAGAAATATAGATGATAATTTAAATATTTATGCAATTAAATAACAAAAAATACATGTAATTAAAACAATCCCATAGATAGCAGGTAGGGTCCCCTGCCATCCGCAGCTTGGAGTTGCAGGGTACCCCCACCACCCGGCCGGGAGCTGCAGGGTGCCCATGCCGCCCGGAGCCCCGCCCCATGTAGGTCCCTTGATAACTAGGGGCTAGATTTATAAAAAGACTTACATCTGTATCCTCTTTAGCCACATACATCCAACATTTAGGTGCCACTGACACTCTCAAAACCCCTTCTCAGCTGCCACCTAAAGCTGTCGGTATCTAAAGTTGCTGTGCAGTCTAGGTATCTGCTGGTAGGCATGCACAATGCCAGATAAGTAGTGATGTTGCCTCACAGCTAAGAAGTTGCTTGGAGTGCCAGCCAAAGCCCCAGTGGGATTCTGAAACTAGGCATTCCTTTGCCTATCTCACCTGCAGAGCTGATATGATTTGGGTTCTGCACATAAAACATTCAAGGGACAGCATATCAGGAAAAAAATTAATGGGTGCTTAGGACCAGCTCCTCCTCCTCCCCCTCCCGCCCTGCGCCTCCTGCCCGCCGCGATCAGCTGTTCTGCAGCATGCAGGTGGCGCTGGGGAAAGGGGAGGAGCGGGGATGGGGCATAATCAGGGGAAGGGGTGGAACTGGGAGAAAAGAAGTGGGACAGAGCAGGGGTAGAGTGGGGTCAGGGTCTAGGGTGGAGTGGGGGCAGGAAGAGGCAGGACAGGGCCTGCGGCAGAGCGGGGGGTTGAGCAACCCCAAAGCAAGGAGGAAACCGGTGCCTGTGGTCTGTACCTGGCCAAGGTTGTCATGCAGTTGTTGGTGTCACTAGGCATAGCTACCAGGTAACTCGGGGGGATGGAAGGCCATAAGTGCCAATGAAACCTCCCTGCTCTGGGTCTAAGTGAACCACAGAACTCCATCTTGTGAACTTTCACCTACTTCCATGCTAATAGCCTATGCTGAAGCAGAATATGTGATGGTCAGCTTTTCTAGCAGACAGCTGCAGTTTTGTTCGCACTAACAGAAACGGTAGTGATAATGCGGGGGAAAAAGGGGAGGAAAAGGCCTAGTGCGTAGAGCTTGCAAGGTCAAAGATAAGCATGTGAATGGGAAAGTTTCTAACATGCACAATGTGTACCTGGGGTAACTGCTCGAGGAGGGAGGGGTAGAAGGGGTAGAGGGAAAAGTAACAGAACAAAGCTTACACAGAAACAGCTTGGAATATAAAAGGGTAAACTTGCTTGTATGTGCTGTGCTTGATTTGAGACGTGCCTGTCTCCCTGCACCACTTTGAGATCTCAAATAAACTTTGTTTTCTTCTCCACCCCTGGTGTGTCTATTGGTGCAGCGCACACCGGGCAACGAACCCTGTTGCCCCCTCTGGGCCCATCTGGGCTGGCAACACAGTGTTAGGGAGAAGATTTAGTTTGGGATAAGATGAGACAAGTTTGGAGTGAGCTGTTGTATCTCCTTCCTGGGTGAATGCTGTAGAGGAGCCTATGAACTTCCCCCCACATGGAGCACCTTTCCTCCTTATCCCTCCCCACTTCAGCAGCTCTGCAGAGGCCATTTATACCACCAACTAGCAGCTTCTGCAGGAGCTCCTGAAAGGGAGCATAAATAGAAGTTAATTTTGGTAGCAAACCTCTAACAAGCTCTCCTATGCATGTGCAGATTTTTGTGTCTTGTAACATAGCCAAATGGATTTTCATGGAGAAAGCAGAAGGAACCATGTTAAGTTTAAGACTTTCACCGATTTTGAAGTTTCTAACCCAACTCTGGAGCTCTTTACAAATTGGTTAACATTGGCAAAACTACCTACTTCCCTAACCTCATTCTCCAAAGTGACTGAAACATTCGTGCTGATACTCTCCACAAGACTCCCGCCTGAGCCAAAGCCCAAACAGGAAGCTTCAGCTCAAGTCTTGGAAGTCTGGCAAAAGCATAAGCAATTGAAAGATAGTGGTTAGGAAAGGAAATGTTTGATAGCCTTTGTGAGGAGCCACCACCACGAGTTCCCCCAGTGGGGTCAGGCTGAGACCAACGGACAGACTTCTAGCCCTCCCCCAAACCCGGAGCTCGCCCTGTGCAGATATAGGGGCGGCGTTTACATTTTGGGTGGTGAAAAGACAACAAAATATTGTTGAACTGCCACGTGAGTCCCCGGAAAGACGGGAGACCGCGGGCCAGGAAAGCTGGGAACGGCAACAAGTAGCTCCGGTAAAGTTGTCACGAGCATTTATTTGGTGAAAAGTGGTAAAAGTCACATGACATCAGTGAAAAGAAGAAGAATACGGTAAGTAAACAAAGAAGAAACCACCAGGCGGAGGGGCTCCCGGGGGCAAGGAGTCCCAGCCAGGGCGCCACCCGGTGCGGGATACTCCCCATGGCAGCGGATCAGGCCGCGGGGAGCGGTTGTTTCCGTTTGTGCTGGTGCCGGCCGGGTCGGGGCTCGCGCACACAGAGCTGGCAGCGGAAGAGCGGAGGCGGGAAGCTGACGTCGCGGCGCCTTCCCGCGTGTGGCGCGTAAGGACTGTGGCCGCGAGAACTTTCCTCTCCGTTTCAGCTGTGAAGCAAGGCCGGTTGCATGGGCGGCAGGTATCACAGGCGGGGAGGGGAGGCTGAGCCACAAGCAACAACCAGGCGTCGCCCCACCCACGCTCCGCCGCTAGTCCCGTCTTGCGTCTGTGGCTCGTGCCCTGGCCCTGCGCTCCGGGGTGGGGCTGGGGCCCCCACGCTCGCTCAGCGCTCCGAGGTTGGGGGTTGGTGCCCACTCTCCCGGGACTCCGGGGCACTAGCCTAGGAAGGGGCCGGCGGATGCTTTGTGGGAGCGGCCCATGGCTGGTTGGTCTGATCTGATTGGCCCACTGCTGCTTGTAGTGTAGGAAACTGCTCCCTGTAGGAATGTGCTATGTGCTAGCTGTAGCAGTTACTAATATGTAATGGAGTGTAAGAAACTGCTGTTGTAAAAAAACAGATAGCAGTTTGTCCCCTGCACTCATGGCAGGACAAATTTATCTAGGCCATTCCTGACACGTGTTTGTCCACCCTGCTCTTAAAAATCTCCAGGGATGGAGGTTCCCTTCCCTGGGCAATTTATTCCAGTGCTTAACCACCCTGACAGGAAGTTTTTCCTAATGTCCAACCTAAACCTCTCTTGTTGCAATTTAAGCCCATTGCTTCTTGTCCTATCCTCAGAGGTTAAGGAGAACAATTCTTCTCCTTCCTCCTTGTAACAACCTTTTATGTACTTGAAAATGTTTCAGTCTTCCCTCATAGGTCATGTTTTCTAGATCTTTAATCATTTTTGTTGCTTTTCTCTGGACTTTTTCCAATTTGTCCACTTTTTTCCTGAAATGTGGCGCCAGAACTGAACACAATACTCCAGTTGAGGCCTAGTCAGCGTGGAGTAGAGCGGAAGAATTACTTCTCGTGTCTTGCTTACGATACTCCTGTTAATATAACCCAGAATGATGTTCCCTTTTTTTTTTGAAGCAGTGTTACACTGTTGACTTATATTTAGTTTGTGATCCACTATGACCTCCAGATCCCTTTCTGCAGTACTCCTTCCTAGGCAGTCATTTCCCATTTTGTATGTGTGCAACTGATTGTTCCTTCCTAAGTGGAGTACTTTGCATTTGTCCTTGTTGAATTTCATCCTATTTACTTCAGACCATTTCTCCAGTTTGTCCAGATCATTTTGAATTGTAATCCTGTACTCCAAAGCATTTGGAACCCCTCCCAGCTTGGTATCGTCTGCAAACTTTATAAGTGTACTCTCTATGCAGTTATCTAAATCATTGATATTGAATTGGTATTGAATAGAAACGTATCCAGAACTGATCCCTGCAGGATCCCACTCGTTATGCCCTTCCAGCATGACTGTGAACCACTGATAACTACTCTCTGGGAACGGTTTTCCAACCAGTTTTGCACCCACTTTATTGTAGCTCCTGCTAGGTTGCATTTTCCTAGTTTGTTTATGAGAAGGTCATGCGATACAGTAACAAAAACTTTACAAAAGTCAAGATATACCATGTCTACCACTTCCCCCCATCCACAAGGCTTGTTACCCTGTCAAAGAAAGCTATCAGCTTGGATTGACACAATTTGTTCTTGACAAATCCATGCTGATTGTTACTTATCACCTTATTTTCTTCTAGATGTTTGTAAACTGATTGCTTAATTATTCGCTCCATTATCTTTCCGGGTACACAAGTTAAGCTGACTGGTCTGTAATTCCCAGGGTTGTCCTTATTTCCCTTTTTATAGTTTGGCACCATATTTGCCCTTTTCCAGTCTTCTGGAAGCTTTCCCGTCTTCCATGACTTCTCAAAGATAATTGTTAATGGCTCAGATATTTTCTCAGTCAGCTCCTTGAGTATTATAGGACGCATTTCATCAGGCCCTAGTAGTTTGAAGACATCTAATTTGTCTAAGTAATTTTTAACTTGTTCTTTTCCTATTTTTGTCTCTAATCTTACCTCATTTTTATTGGCATTCACTATGTTAGACGTCCAATCATCACCAACCTTCTTGGTGAAAACTGAAACAAAGACGTCATGAAGCAACTCTTCTATTTCCACATTTTCTGTTATTCCCCCCCTCCCCTCGTTGAGTAATGGGCCTACCCTGTCCTTGGTCTTCCGCTTGCTTCTAATGTATTTGTAGAATGTTTTCTTGTTACCCTTTATGTCTCTGGTTAGTTTGATCTCGTTTTGTGCCTTGGCCTTTCTTATTTTGTCCCTATATACTTGTGTTATTTGTTTATATTCATCCTTTGTAACTTGACCTAATTTCCACTTTTTGTAGGTCTCTTTCTTGATTTTTAGATCATTGAAGATCTCCTGGTTAAGCCAGGGTGGTCTCTTGCCAGACTTCCTATCTTTCCTACTCAGTGGTATAGTTTGCTCTTGCACCCTTAATAATGTCTCTTTGAAAAACTGTCAATTGTCTTCAATTGCTTTTCCCCTTAGACTTGCTGACTTGTCCTAATTTGCTAAAAACTGCTATATGATGTAGCTAATTCCTACAGATACCCTACAGTGTAAGAAAATGCTATGTGAAACTACTACCAGTAGGAAGTTGCTATCTGTAGCAGGGAGAGGTAGTGAATTGTTACCATTAGCAGTTACTGATCCATATGGTTGTATCGTGCTGTTCTTACGTGCTGACTTGTCCTAATTTACTAAAACTTGACAGTGGTGTGGGATGGAAGCATAAAGTGTTCAGCGTCCAAATGACCCTGCCTGGATTCATGTTAGTGGGATGTGGGACATGTGGAGGATAATTTAAACTCTTAATTTCCTTAGAGTTCGCCTTCAGTATACTTCTATGTTGGTGCGATCTCATCAACTCAGCAGGTAGGCAGAGGCAGCAATGCACTTGTCCTGTTGCCTTGACTGAGAGAGGTTTCTGATCAAAGGGAGCATAGATTTCGGCAAGCTATTGGAGATGAAAGGGCTTGTTCAGAAATAGATTTTGAAGTCTGTAGGGTAAAGATGAACCAGATGGGTTTGTCTCCATGCAGCTATATTTTATTCTCTGGGGGCTGGGTAGAAAGGAGAGAGAAGTATTTTGGGTTTCCTATTTCCCTTACTGAGGACCATCGATGCTCACCTGAAATTTTTCCTGGGCGAAGCAGTTCCTATCTGTTTATTACAGGGTCAAAATATGGCTGCCATCACACAGAGGCATTAGTGGTGGTGGAGGTGAGATGAGGGCCAAAAAGTCCTTTCCTTCCCCCAAACACTCCCATGCATGTGGAAGCTGTAAAGTTGCTGCTGCCTAAATAACCTGATGGCAAACGGGTAGAGGCAGAAGGCACTGCCAGCTACGGTATATTGAGCACCTCAGAGGAGCCATGCACTGTATGGAGTCCATGCTTTTACATCTATTCTGTACTGGTGAGGGCAACCCTCACTCCACAGTGCTCCTGGTGGTCCCAGGGCTTCCCCTGACTTCCACCAGCACAAGCACTGCTCCTATCACTATTGCTTGAAGATGTACCACCTTCTCTTCCTCCCTGCCATTGCTCAAGCTTTAGAGCCATAACTGAGCCTGGAGTTGGTAAAGTGCTCATGATCTCTATAAAACATGACATAGGTTGATTATAATTGTTGCTACTGAGGATCTCAAAGTCAGTGGGGAGGCAAAGAGTTCTATTGAAAAACTGATGTGATGTTTTTGGTAAGGTGAATAGCTCTTTAGAGGTTCAGGCTTCTCCCATGAACAAATGAGCCAGTGAAGCAGCCTAGCAAAATAAACAAACCTACCCTGCTATTTACATTAGGAGGATAATTGATGCTGAATCCTGCAGCTGACAGAATGTGATATAAACAAGTATCGCACAGAAAAAATATTTCACTGCTGTGTTTTCCACAGAAATGGAGATGAGACAGTGTTCAAAAATACAGGGGAGGGGTGAGGACCGATGAGGTGTGGGACTGTTAGGGAAAAGGTGGGCTGTATGGCACCATTGTAAAAACAAATATGTTTCACGACCATTTTATTAGTTTTAACTCATGTTTTTAAATCATCACACAAATTAAAGTTGGCTATACAAGCCTATATGAAGCACTATATCTACATCCTTCTTGGTTTCTTGTAAATTTGCACAACTCTGTTAATAAATTTTAAAAATGCGGTGCATTCATTTTTGATGGCTTCTCATGTGTCAGATCTTCCAGTCCTTCATGATATGCTCCTGATCAGGCAGAAGGCCACTTTTTTCAGAACACAAAATTCTATTGTGAGAAAAAAGAATGCTTAACTGTAGCTGTTGAGACAGGGAGTAGAAAGAGATGAATTCCTACTTCTTTCATCCCAGGAAACATAGCACAAAAATTGGGTTGAATCATTAGTGATGATAAAGAAGAAGTTGAAATCAAATCTACATTTGTTCATCGTATGATATTCCACTCTGTATTCAAATTCTCTATTCTCTCTTGATCACATGGCATCCCCATTGCTGGTAGTGCCTCCACTCAATTGTCTGTTTTATAAGACAGGCATCTGTAAAAGCTCGTTCTCCACTATGTCTTCCAGAGAAGTTTGCAGCTCCATCAAATGCACAAGCAGCCATCTGTTTGGGGTTCAGTTGACAAGCATTTAATTCTTCTAAGATGTGGGTTTCAGAGATGCAGCTGATGTGTCTTCTATAACCTGAACATCTAGAAATTTATCTACTGACCTACCACTGAAATCAAGATAATATAGGTTGTGACTTAATACTTGACACCCATTTGCGTCGGTGCATTCATCAGCCCTGTATGTACATTTTCTGAATGCAGAGAGAGAGTTCTTCACTTTTTCAACCGCTGAGTCTTTCACTGTTGCACTGGATGCTTCTAATCAGTCAGTTGAGTTTCTTGCAGAAAGATAGTGAGCATTTGCTGGTCTTGGGCGGAACCAGTGTCCAATTTCCAGATTAACAAATGACAATGCACTTAACATTGGCCTCCAGTTTGTAGTGTGTGGTATCTCTTGCTTAAAGAGAAAGTATTATGTGACAGCCATGTTTGTTTGCATAAACTATGTTGTGGCTCCAGCATTCTTAACAACCTCATTAAGTACTTCTTCTAAAATCGGCTTT